TATATTTCTGCCTTGTATTCGAACCGCCTAAAAAGAACTTATTTCTTTTACCATTGTTTTATTTGAACAAATTCTTTTAAACCAGCTTGCGCTCTCTGCAATATAAAAATAGCACAAAAAGCAAATTGAAACCAAGGACTATCAGATGTCTATTATGTATATACCATTTTATAAGTCAAAGTACTAGATTTGAAAACACTTGCAACTGAAGGATTTGGCAGGAAAGTAAGGACCCTAGAGTCAATAAACTCAGACGAAGAATTATTATTTATGCTGACTGAATGAACTGTCACACATCAGCTGTTTTGCAATTGTCCTTGTTTGTTTGGATTTAGACTAGCAGCAGAAACGATACAGATCATTATATAGCTGGGGTCCCCACAAAGAGTTTGCAAGTTGCAAGGCATAAAAATGTCTTCATTAGCTGGTAATAAGAATGGCAAAATGTACCTATATTTTTGCATCTTGAATGTCCTCCAAAGTTACTTTCATAGAGCTTTAATTCTGATGTATATGTGTCAAGTCATGGGATAAAAAGCCTCGTTACCTATGGTAAAAATTTACTTTCCTTTCTTCCACATTTCAACGGCACTCACAGTCTCCTTTTTGGATTTAAAATGAAAGGAACGTAATATTCCATAGCGTTGTTTCGATAATTTCAATGTAAGGAGTTCACATGTTTCCTACATGGTGATTTTAAACAATCAAAAACAAAACAAAAACACACATGCAGCTGATTCAAGGCAGGTTTCTCCATCCTCAAATCACATGTACCTCCACAGAAACAAAAAAGAATCCACCCATTCCAGACAAACTGGAATAGTTGCTGCAATGCATATTCGTTCACAATATGACTAAAATTCAATTTTAAGTAGACGAGGACGATATTTTAAAAAAAGTTCTATTGTGCATGCGATGATGTTCAAAGATCGTTGGTGTGCACTATGTGCGTATTAATATTGGTACTATGTATTGATTAATGTACAGTTGTGTATTTATTTTGGAAGACTGCATACATTTAGGGTTTTTTTTTCTTGTCGTTTATTTTGTTATTATTAATTAGTAAAACAAAATGAATATACAATATAAATAATATTGCATTTCTGCCGGAAAAAACTCTTTCTTCGGATTAATACATCACTTCAAATTTTGTCGTGCAGTATTACGTGGAATAACTCGCTCATATTTTCTCCAGAATTCAATACAATCGTGACATCCATTGTTGATATGAAATTATGTAACTGTGAAGAGGTTTCAGTATCAAAATAAAGAGCTTGATCAGATAAGTTTTATTGTGCTAATATGCAAAACAACGTTCATTTGCTTTTGTTTCATAATTAAAAAATACAATCTTTTATTAAGAATAAGATCAATAAAATTCTTATTTAGCAATTTCAACTTTTTCAGTGAACGCGATTCATATAACTACATAGGTACACTGATATATATCCTCGAAGAAATCATACGAGGAACAAGGATGACACAATGCCAACTACATCCAGACCATGCAAGTGGAATAAGCCTAGAGAAAGGAATGTGAGAAAGCCCAAGATTTTAAACTTAATAGCTAAGTGTTATAAGCAGAGAAGAATGAGACGAACATTCCTAACTTTGAAGTAACTACCAGGATCAAACCATCATAGAGGAAAATAAAGCTTTGAAACCAACTGCTGACGAAAACCGATTCATGCACAAACTTCTAGCTGCACTCTGAAATGCTGGCTGGCTGCAATTTTTCCCTAAGAAATAGAAACCGGAAATTGCCAAACTTAAAGTGCCAACTTGACTTATCACAATAAAACTAATATTCATTGTGACAAGTGACAAGAACATTTACAAATTACACTCAAACTGCTCGCTGTGTCTTTTGATGACACCATAAAGATAGAGATAAATACAAAAGGAAAAATCTGGAATTAATTTTGGGAAGAAGCAAGAGCAGAGAGAATATTAAATCTTCCCATTTTGTGCGGAAGCAACGAGCAAATTAAAGACCCTGATAGTTTAATAAGTCGGATGTTTTACCAGAGAGTTTTTGATAACAGAAATCTGAAATGGGGAAGTGGTGATAAGCCTGCTGCAAGAAGTGTTGGTTTTCATCAGATGAATACGAAGCACCAAGGTTTCAGTGCTGCATCTGTATGTGGCCTTATTGTCTATATACTTGTATTATGCATATTGTGGTCAATGTGTGCTTGAGGTAAGGTGTCCATCATCCCATCAGTGGAGATTGGAACGAACTCCCCTACTGATCGTGCTAAGACAATACATTCTTGTGTGAATTGGATTAGAAGAACAGTGTAATTCTGAAAAAAGAACTCACACATATTACCACATTTAAGACATTAGAAATCGATAGATTTTGATGATATACTGTGCAGTAGCATAGTAATGACTTTATGTTAAGGCTGTATTTCCAGAACTATATTTACCCATAGTGCAAAGATGTTTGCCTCTGCATAAGCATGTGCGTGTGTGTTGCTGTCACTACTTGTGATAGTGCGTACATGTATGTGCATATGTTGAGATGGCTGTGTGTTGGAATAATATTAGATGCACACTTTTCCCATATTTAGTTTCATAATTGGATGGTTGTGTGTTATATCAACGAGTTGATTGGTAGTCGTCTATGTCTTTGAATGAATAAATGACAAGGTGAACAAATTATATAGAGGACATTTTGTTTAATAAAATTCAAAATTCAGCAACTCATTTATTATAAACAGATAAAAGATGGTAACTGTTTTCTTGGGTAATATTCGTTTCACTTTCTATGTGAATGTAATAAGTTAGGTGTACATTATTTAAATAGAAACAATACCGTGTAATGCTAAACTCACTATAACTGTCATGTTTTCAGCACATATATGAATACAGTTATCCATTACGCACATTGTAAGTTTGTCAGTTAAGTCAATGTAGTTAAAACAGTTGTAAAAGTGCGTAAATATTTTTAACTATGTAAAATGTCGGTGCAAAAAGAGTGTGTAGTTGATCGCTGTGTACAAAAGAATCTCCTGTTCAAGAAGAAATAAATATTTTGTTTACATTGAACAATCATTTTCTAGATAATAAAATCACTGAACTTGTTTTGCATAAAGGTCAGCAGCTTATGAACAATTATATTTATGTGACAGCCAGGAGCAAAATAAAATTGACAACAGATTTTAATGATCTTAATAAACAAGCAACTGGAAAACTGTGTTCTAGGATTTGTTTATTCTTTAAACTCTAATGATGGTAGTATCTTAGTAAGTCTTTGCACTTATTTTTCATATTTTTGATAACTGGTTTTCCATGAATATTTCCATCACACCCTGCAACAGTTTGAAATTGCTTGTCCTTTCTATTGTTCTTATCATGCAGTGTTTTCAGTCTTTCGAACATTACGTTTGGATAACTTATTCGTGTTATTTTTGAAAGGAAGAATGATGAGAGCTATACCATTTGGGATAGTTATGTCTGATATAAGCATCCCCTTATCTGCCACAATGGCATCACCTTTCTCAGATAGGTCCAGAATGCTACACAAGGTATTTATTTGCTTGTCACTTGTGCTTCCGTTGTGCAAGTCAGATACATGCACAAACCTGCAAGAGTTAAAACAACCTAAGATTTAAAGGTCGTGTGATTTGTAATCACAATACATGGCTTACCTAAGCGCTAGGGAGTTTGGGGTTTCAGTTTTTATCTCCGTGCAGTCGATGATAACAGGACAAGTCGGATATTATGTTTCGAAATGAGTGAGGGATATATTTTCATTTATCTCTTTACCTGACCATTTCACCAAGAAATTGAATTGTATATCAAGGTCGTCAGTCCACTTGGCAAATATTGTTCTGCATGTCTTGGTTAAAGCTCCAACAAAATTCCAAGCCTCAGCCTCATGAGCACATCAATCAGATTCAATGACAGAGGTTGTTCAGAATCATTGGTAAAACATTTTTGCTAATCCTCAGAATCATTTGTAACTTTTTCATTAAATGCAATGTTTTGTAGTGCTAACAATGTTTGTCTTCCTGTTGTTTATTAGAATCTTCATTTACTTTATCAAAGACTGTTTTATATAACGTTGCATTTGGTTTCTCTTTTACAAAGAGTGGATTGTCATCATCATCTCTGATATCATCATATGTCATTGATGGTCGCTATCTACTTAAATGTTGGCATTCTTGGTTCCATGAAACGCAATTAAGTCTTTTTGTGCATTAGAGTCCCTGAACCATACATCAAGTTCTGTTTGGGTGTGTGTTGTCCTAAATGTCTTTAAAATGGATGTTACCGTCATTTGGTTTCAACCAATCAGTACCTCTGAAACTGCAAAATACTAGTCATGTAGCATTACTGACACATTCATAGAGCTGACTGGTATACGATTTCAGCTTCAAGTTCTTCATGTGATGAAACATTGCAATGAGTTTCTTCGGGATCAACAATGTGTGTTAAATGAATCATCTGATACTTCAGGGTGGATAGATCTGTAGAATGATACGATAGTGAAAATAAAAGACAATGGTGTAAAACACATGCCACATATGTATTGTACACAGGTATTCATTCCACAGACATGTTGTGTCTGAACAGTGGAATAATTTTGTGTATGAATGATGTAATGTCAACTTGCAGCATGCCGTGACCTGCATATCTAGCCTTCATAACTGTGTAGCCTGGTACATAAATCTGCAATAGGCCACATTGTTCACAACAACAACATTACAGAACATTCATTTGTGCGCGTGCACACATACATCTATGAAACTGCTTTACACTGGCAAAGACAAATGAAAGCTTGACATGGATTTACACAAAGTAGACAACTTTTAACATCGGTACATGGTAAGTGAAAACGTAAGTCACAAGTGCTTCTTGATGCTCTAATAATGAATAAATCACAAGTCTATACTGACGCTCTATAAGGACAAGTATATATTGCTGCTCAAATAGGCAGTAGGTAAGATCCTATCCTAGGCAGTAGTATCTTTTACTCTTCATCTTTAACCGCTCCGGTGGCCTAGTGGTTAGGTCGTCCGCCTCGTATGCGGTAGGTCGTGGGTTCTATCCCCGGCTGAGTCATACCAAAGACGTACAAAAATGGTAGTAACAGCTGACTCGCTTGGCGCGCAACATTAAGAGGCTAGTGTTAAGACTGGTCAGCCTGGTTTCAGGATAATGTGACTGGGTGAGACATCATGCTACATGTTTGCGGCATGATACCTGGGTGTAAGACATCACTATAAACTACCACACTGCAGACATCATAGTGATATGACTGAGAAATTGTTAAAGTTACAATAAAAATCTAAATCACTCACACATACACTCTTTATCTTTACATCAGTATAATTATTTTGAATTTAGAAAGATATTTAAATTAACTGGTTATAATGACCTCATACGCGAGTTTTGGTGGAAGAGAGATTAATAGGTGTAAATATGGTGATGTATTTTGCACATCCAACAATAGCCATATTGTCTTTTTACTGACGTATTTGATACAAGGGATACGTGTTCCGATCCAGTGTGAAAGCTCTTATTACCTGCAATGACGTTTTAAAGTTATCACCATTAAGATTTTTTTCGGTATGGCATAAATCATTTTTGTCGGCTCTTTCAAACTTTTATAGTGAAATTACACATTAAAAGACTCATCAATCAAATAAGGATAATTCATCCCTATTCAAAGAATGTGAATCTTTTACGCTCACAAGATGATTTGTTCCATTGTATTTTATGGAAGACTGATGGATAAAGTCCTGTGACTTGTTTCAACAAGTGAATCCCATCGCTTCAACATTTTAATTCGTGTCTAATTCTCGACGTAGTTTGTTTACTAAAATGTCTATAACACAATCGAATGTTTAAAGCAACCGAGTTACATTAAGATCGTAGCACAATTGGACGGATTAATTGGTTTCATTACGAGGAATGTACGTATTGTTTTAGAACCAAGACTAAACATTTACTCCAGAACCTCGATCAGAAAAATTTAGAAAAGTCTCTGATGCACACATGCGTCTTTGGCTGCAAACCAATTGTTTCCTGGCAAACATTCCTACATAATTAGTTGCCGTCTTTTTTAGTGATGCTATTATTTTCAAAGTTTTAACATCATATTTAGTTGTAACAATCTTCAGGAAAGCAGTTATTCTTAATCAGGTTTATAAATTAGTTTGAAATTTGAACAATATAACACTTTGCATTGTCCCAAATAGTCTCCTTTGTTTCCTTTAAAGATAGGATTAAAAATGCAAGCAAACTTTAGGTCGACATATATATATATATATATATATATATATATATATATATATATATATATATATATATATATATATATATATATATAGTTATTGCAACTTATGACAACTGGACGCTCATTTTCTCATCAACACTAAATGCTTTGTGTTTTATGTGCAACTGTTTTTAATCCTCATTAGCTTGCTCCTGTTTAAGGGAAATTAAAGTGATTTATTACAAATCTTTATCACAGTCTATGCCGCAAATGGCGCACTAGGAAAATAAGATTTACTTTATTCTTATAAGCTATATTTAGACGTGTATACCAAAAACACATATACGCTATAATTAACTGCTTTTCATTGGCATTTTTTCAGCAAAGCCTACAATATTAGGCTAGTCTGTATCTTCTCATTTCTAAACCTTCAACCCCTTTACATAAAATGTGCATTGCCTGCATTAATCTATAATATTTTCTGAAGCGAATTTAAACGGGATGAGATAGTCAGAAAAAATATCAATCAAAAATAATTCAGTAGTCAGTTTAGCCTGTGTTCCATGCGCGAAATTAAGTTTCTTCTCTCATGAGGAGACAAGAAATCAATTCATTTAATCACGAAGACTTTTAAAAAAGAAACGTTCAAATTAATACAGACTTCTATCAACCATGTATATATTAGTTTTACTACATACATCTGCTACTGTAATTTATTACTTATTCGCCAGGCAGCAATATTTGTGGGGTTTGTGAATGCTTACAAAGGACAAAGTTAAAGATCCAATAAACAAGGATTCTTCTTACAAATCAGAAAGAACATATCCTCATCCAAAATGATGCCATATCCTATAAACGTGTGAAAATTTATATCCATACATGTGAATGAATTCATGGTACAACGTTTACACGGGAAGAAGCGATTGAAAAGTGGAATACAACGAAATGCGTAATCCATCGAACAGTGTATGTAATCCTTGTTCAATGTTCAGAATGAAATGAAAGTATTCAATTTGAATAGCTTTTTCTCATTTATCTTTTAATCTTTTGCTCAGCAATCATAGACATTTGAAAATGAGAGTAAATCCAAAGGGTAATTGGAATACAGTTTGCATTATTATTTACATATTTAGGTATTAGCTGAAGCGACCAAGCTAAAATATCAAAGGATTTACTCTCAAGGTAGAAGAGTGTCACATACGCAAAGCGTGAACTTTGCTACTATGTTGGAAATTTGCTTGTTATCAAAAATTCATGTTTCTTGCGTTAAGATCCGTGTAAATATGTTACAAAGGTTACACATATAAATGATAGAAAGGGTTTAAAGTATAACTAGAATATTGGTCACGGTCAACGATAAATGTATACATCATCAGTCATTGTAATTAAAATGGTAACTTTTGGGGTTTTCCCGTCTTTTTACCCCACCATTTATACTAGCCGCTATGTATAGCATACGTTATTCTTAAAAATGGCGATAAACCCTTCAACAATCACAATAACAAAAAGACAATCCTACAATCACGAAGCATAAAGTTATGTCAAACAACGTTTCTCGTTCATCTTACTATGATATTCTACACATTATTTGTGGAAACATGAATGCTTTGAATAGTGACTGCGCTATTAAATAGCCAGTTAATGAACTAATTCTGCAGATAACATTGTAATGAAACGGATATTATATATATATATATATATATATATATATATATATATATATATATATATATATATATATATATATATATATATATATATATACATTTAGTCCATTTGGTTTTAAACTGTCTCATCTCTCAAAATTGCTCCTATTTTACTATTTTGCAATCAGATGTATTTTCCATTGACTTATTCAAGAAGATATTGTATGAAGCAATATACCTTATGTAGCTGTTTTTAAAATCTTTTTAAGTTTCTGCAGTAGATAATGTGATAAACGTGTGTTATACATACATGCATGCATGCATGGATACATACATACATACATACATACATACATACATACATACATACATACATACATACATACATACATACATACATACATACATACATACATACATACATACATACATACATACATACATACATACATACATACATACATACATACATACATACATACATACATACATACATACATACATACATATATATATATATATATATATATATATATATATATATATATATATATATATATGTATGTATGTATGTATGTGTGTGTGTCAGTTTATATGAATTTTGATTGTAAGGCTCATATTACATAATTTGAAGAAAATGAGATGCACTTTTAATTAGAGCAAACGTGTTGAGGTGTCTTTGACTTTGATCCTGGTAGTTGTATAAGAAATCTTATTCACGAACGTGATTGGATTGTAACTCAGGTCATGGGGTTACCACTACGAAAAGCTGGTGATCTAATTGTTTATAGTTTTGATACTAAATGACCTGACCGTGTTGGTAAGTTAGAATGTTCGTTCTGAAAATAACTAATCGACTCTCCTTATGGCTCTGAAACTACGTTTAATTTTTATGTAAGGAATGTTTTACATAAGAACTAGTTATTCATATTTAAAACATTAATCTGTGTATAATCATATTTAATTACATTCATTTAGGATGATGTATTTACTTCAGTTATTACTTGGAATTACTCAGAGTTTAGGATTAATTAATTAATTTCGAAGTACTGCGAATTCATTTAAACACTTTGGATTATATCATACTGATACATCAAGACTCTTAGAACATTATTTCAGACTATTGCCACATTAGCAGAGTATATTGAACTTCAAGCGGGAAACTACAGGAAGTTATGGTGAATACTCGATATTTTTGGACTATTTAGGATTTCATTCACTGTAAGTTATTTAAAATGTTTCAGTTTGTAATTTGGGAAATTATTATTTATTGAATTGTACAACATTTTTGTTTTCGTCCGTTTCTGTTAATTATTTAAGAGCATATAGTACTAAAAATTAAAGGCTCTTTCTACAATACAAATATAAGAAATACATATCAGATACTTTACAACTGCTTTTAAAATTTGAAAATACTTGAATTGGAATTTCTTTAGTCCTTTGTATTATAAATTCGATGTATTAAGAAACTATCAAACTTTCACCATGCCATAGAAAGAGTAAGGGTTAGAGTGATTCACACAGCAAGAGCTGCTTGAGGTTGCCAGACATTATTAACTTTCTTGATCAAATTCATATTTTTGATGGAAAAAGATAAGAAATAAAGAATAGTTAATTATTTGAATGATAAAGGATTTCTTAACAAAAGTGCTTTGGATTTGACTAGTAGGTCTTTATTTGGTTTGTATATTACATTAAGTGACAGACAGCTAAACCACTAAGGAATGAAGAAAGAGAAATGCAAATATAAAGCAAGATAAAAGAAAAACACACTTTAGATTTACAAATTAGAACTGACAAAAAGAAAACACTCCATTTTAATTGAAGTTCAGATGATTATTTCCTGATAAACCATTTGTTGATCAATAAATTAACATCTCTCTAAGATTTCAGTAAAATGAAAAATCTATTATAGTCCATTATGAGTATTTAAAAATCTCAATATGGCAAACCTTTTAGGTCGCGGCCGTGTCATACCAAAGACTTACAAAATTGGTACAAACAGTTGCCACGCTAGGCGCTCAGAATTACGAGGTAAGCATTAGGACTGGTCAGTCTGGTGTCAGGATAATGTGATTGGGTGGGACATCATGCTACATGTCTGCCGCATGATGCCTCAGTGATAGACATTACTATAAACTGCCACAATGCAGACATCGTAGCTATATGACTGAAAAATGTTTGAAGCTTCGTTATTA